ACCTTGTTTTTTATTCGATTGCAATGACCCCCTGCAAATGTGGGTTGACGCGAAGGGATCTTTTGATTGCCAAGTGCAAAACTATTTCCCTCGTTCAAAGAGATTTGCAAAACTAGGTATCGAGAGATTAAAAATGCACCATGTAAGTATTATAAAAACACGCGAATGAGATTTGCAAAAGACTGCTTGAAAGATGTCATTTACCAACCACTCTTGCATACCTTGGTACTTATCACGTGGTGTCCTTCCTTCCTATCTAACTCTTTGTGCTCCATTTCTTCATCTCTTTCTACAAATTCCTTGGAGTTTAAAAGTATCTCACCCAAACATACCCTGAAGGTTCTCTTGGATGGAGGATTTATATTAAGGAATATGCTGATGATGGGACCAGAGAGTGAAGGGATTTAAGACGATGAGATTTTGGAGTTCCTTGTTTTGGGTATTAGGGGATTAGTTGGTGTTGAGTTTTTAATTTTTAATTTTTAATTTTTATTATACATGCGATATTACTAATTTAAACAACACATAAGGGGAATGATTTGAACGCAAAAAACAGTGTCCAACAAGGCAATCTATCACTAGCAGTTGGCGATGAGATTTAAATTGATGGGGTTTCGAAATTACTAATTTTGCTATAATAGGATTAATACAAATTAACTAAAAATTTGAAATCTATTAGCAAATGACTATTACAGTAAAATCTCTTTATAATGATATTCGATCTAGTCATAAGAAAAATCCAATGGTGGATTACCCCTGGTGGTTTGGGAATTCATTTTCAACCTACTGCGTCTAGTGTTCAAACTTTCCTATTTCCACTCTATTAATGTAGGGTCTTTTCCAACCTTGACAAGGTCGCATAAACGCAAGCCTAAAGGAACACTAAAGTTAAGGCCCGATGAGTATAGAAAGGTGAAACCGAGTACTTCAAGGGGGCCCATGGATTGGTCTCCAAGTGTCTTGTCAACAATCAAGTTGAGCGCTTCTCTATAAAGCGTCTTCCGAGCACCAAAAGACAAGTTGACCATTGACAGCTTTAAGGTACAAGGTCCCAAGAATAGAAAGGGCAAGCCTAGTCAGACGTCAACCTTTAACCACGTGGTAGCTAGAATAGAGGCCTATGAAGGGACATAAAGGCTGACAAGTAGGACACTTGGGTACAAGTTCCCACTAACTCCAGGCTAGGCAAGGTGCTTGACCGCATTATCCCAAAAAAGGACACATGTGGACCTGCTCCAATGCCCCCTTAATGCCACGTGTCTGCCAAAGAATGAAAGGGGCAACTAGCATGTCTAATCTTTAGATTTGGCATATTAAATGCAAAGGAAGTGTCATATAAGAAGGATAAGTACTCTTTTAGAATGGGTCGGACGAATTGAGATAAAAATTGTACTATTCTAGCCAAGTGCTATTTGTAACCTTATTCTTAATTTATAAAGCAACTTAGTGGATGTAACCCAGTTTTGAGAGGTGGACAACTTAAATCATGTGTCTATTCACATTTGTTTGCAAAGCCCAAATCCATCAAGGACAAACACTTGATCTATTCAACTTTTGTTAGCCTCACCAGTTACACTCTTGCATAAAGTTTTTAATTTATTTTTTAAGAAGCAAACTAGTGCAATTGTTTCAACGGTTGGTAATCACTATAATTATCAACCCCAAGGGGCTAGTATAGTAAAAAGCAAACAAAGATTTGGAATCCCCAACCTTAGTTCGAATTCCCACGATGCATTCCTTGAGGCACCAATGATATGCTCTAGCACCGTTTAACCTAGAGGCCAAAATTACGTTGACACCTTATATGGTACCATGATTGTATGGGAAGCAAGATTAATTTGTCATCAATTATGCTGAAATACCTTTTGTATTAAAATAATAATAATTTATTTTGACACAAAAAAATATAATTTATTAATAATTGAATAAAACTATTTGATAATTAACTTAAAAGAAGTTTATCTTTTGGAAAAAATGAAACAACTGAAAAGAAAAAAGGTTCAAATAAAAAAGGAATAAGTACCTAAAATTCCCTAACCTTTTAGTGTTATTCAAATTGGTTTCAACATTTTTAAACATTCCGAACAAGTATCTAACCTATTGAAAATGTCACTTTCATTGAGCCCCAATTAATTTTTGAAACATGGATTTTAGTCAAAACCCAACAACTTGGTATATTATGGTCAATATTAATAGTAGTTGCCTCAATATCTAATTTCAAACATAGATTCTATAATATAGAACCCAATGATCAAATTGGTATTAAATTGAATCAAAAATGGACTCTACTTGAAATTACATCAGAAGGGCAATCTTCTAACAAAGGAGAGGGTTAAGAATTCAAATATGGTTCATGCTTATGTGTTTTCCTCATACGTTGATTCTCGGCTTGTAAAGCTTGTAGTTTTTTTTTTTTTTTTTTTTTTTTGTGGGCGGTGGGTGGCCGCATCATGATAGTCCATACCATTTAAACAACCTCCATGACCTTCTTCTCGATGTTGGAGGCTTGAGATGTACGACAAAGTTCATAGTCGGGGCTGACTCAATGCGAGCAAGGCGACTGTCCAAGACCCCAAAAAATTGGGGACACCAAAAATATTAGAGTACTTTTATATGAGTTTATGTTATATTCGTATAAATAGAAAACAAGATGAATAATAATAATCAAAGTGTTTCTTTAGTGCAAGTGGCCCTTTACCACAATGGTAAAAAGGTGCTGAGCAATTGCATGACGACGTATGTTTAAACTCCGTCGGTGGCTAATCTAACAAAATCTTATCGTTTGACAAAAAAAAAGTGTATGCGATTGCGTGTTCAATTCCTTGGAATGTCTCTCTTTTCTTTATTTTTTAATTATTTAACAGTCACATGAGCATTTTTCTGGGCACTAAATTATTTGTAGTCCATATATAATATTTATATAAAAAAAAATTAACAAATGAACAATCTTCCTTTTTTTAAGAAAATTAGTAAATGAACAGTGCCACATTTTAAAAAGAATTTAAATTTAAACTTTCTTTCTTCATCTCATTAGTGATTCAACACCAATTTGTTTTCATGAATCATCAAATTAACATCCAAACTCAAAACCTTGTCATCTTGATTTTTGTACTCGAATTAGGCTTTGATTTTATAAATTAAAAATTGAAAATCATAGAAGAATTGATTTAGCTGATCAATGAAGACAGAAGATGGAGTATGTTGCTCCTTTTGGATTCGATTACTCAACAAATAGGAATGAGTAAGATGACCATTGCAAATCCACTCACGCATCTGACATGGCTCAAACTCATGTGCACAACACCTGCACAACTTAAGACACATAACATAAGAACAAATAAACACATAAATTCAACATTAAAACAAAGGGTCATATGCACAAATGCTTGTATCTTTTGTACAAATCTTGGTTTTGAGTGTTAGAAGGTATTCATCTATCAATCTATAGCTCTCCAATTTATTTTATTTTCTTTTAATCTTGGCATTGTTTATGTATTCAGTCGTGCTCTCTAGATTGCATAGGTTTCCTTCCTCCCTTCGATTGTAATCCTTTTTTAGTCCACATATATTATTTTCTAATCCTGATATTGTACCATTGTTAATAAAATTAATTAATTGTAAAAAGAATGTTTATTAATCAATCTACAAAAGGCACCATAAATTTTGCCCTGGGCATTTGAAAACTCAAAAATGGCCTTGGTGGAGTTGGTGGCTTTGTCTAGCATGTGGGGGTGGTGGTGCCAGTTGGTGGAGGCTATGTTTCCATGACTTCTATTTTATTTATTTTTTAACAAACGATATTATCTACCCTAAGATCAACTTCAATGGTGGGATAAAAGCCAAATTACCCCCCAAAATTTCCCCCCAAAATCCAAGAGGAAAATTTGGGCTAAATGCTAAATGCTAATCTAAGGTCAGATTCCCCCAAAATTTAGCCTAGAAATCGGAGTGGGCTCCACCGAATTGAGTGAAAAGGGGCGTTTGTGCGCCAAACGCATCCCACCCACTCGCCCAACTCGCATGATGCCTCAGACAGCGAGGGCCCCGCCCCCGTGGGCCTGTCGGCCACGTTCCACAGCGCCTCCAGCGGCTACTTCCATCCAACGGTCACGATCTACAGGCTGTTGGTTAATCCAAAAGCCTAGATTAATTTTTTTTTGTTTTTATATTTACATATTATTGAATCCAACGACTAAGATCGAATATAATCAAATCTAACAGTAAAAAAAAAAAAGAGCTAATGGCCCAAATTTAAATCCAACGGCTAAAATAATTAAAAAAAATTATTTAACTCAAAATTCACCCAGGGTTAAAAGATTGGTGAAAGTTGAAGGCTTGCTTTGTGGGAAATTTAGTGATTTTTCAATATTTATCGGAATTTAATTTGTTTTAGATTAAAATGTTCATAAAATTAATTTACGATTGTCTACATATTTAATTTTTTTTAAATTTAATTTAACAAAAAAATAGCCTAAGTTCATTCTTTAATAATCCCAGGCTAAAATTTTAGGCCAGAATGGTTAGAGTAGAAAAGCTGTTTCTGGGCTAAAAGCTAAATTTTTCGGGCTAAAATATTTGGCTTTTAGCCCAACCATTAGAGATGGTCTAAGGGGAAGGGGTGGGCTTAGCCTCACAATGGGTTACCAATAATATGGTTCAAATTCGCCTTTGGCGATAATTGAACCTAAGACCTCTCACTTACAATTGAAGAAGAATACCACTAGACTGTAAAGTGGCTACTTCTATGATTTTGGAGATAAAGTAACCCCTAGTTAATATAACAGATTTTTAACTGGAGCTTAACGTATATGACATTTTTAATAGATTAGGTACTTGTTTAAAATGATCAGAAAGGTTGAGACAAATTTGAAATTACACTAAATTTGGGCCGGCCCGTTGAGTGAAATGACCCAAGCCTGCGGAAGCCATGTCAAAGCAGGGGTATTTTAGTCATTTGAAGACGGAGCATGAAAAGCCCTAGACCCACATGCTAAAACCCTAAGTCATTCACTCATTCGTTGTATTGGAAGCCGAAGCCACTCTTCCGCCAAAACCAACACTCTGTCTGAAAGCTCCTCCTCCTCCCTAAATCACCCAAAAAATCATGCGACCTCCCAGAGGCGGCGGAGGGTTCAGAGGCTCCCGCGGTCGCAGTGGTGGTGGTCGCGGGTTTAACAGTGGCGGTCGCGGTTTCTTCCGCGATGAGGGCCCTCCTTCCGAAGTCGTAGGTCTGTTCATTTTTCTTCCAAAACTTATTTATTTCAGCTTCTGTGTTTCCGTTGAATGGAAACTTATTGATTTTTGTTAAATTTTTTGGGTAGTTCTTCCATTTTAGTGGGGGATTTTGGTTTCCGTGGAGGTTTCAAATCTTTGGTAAGTTTGTCATGAAACTATATGTTCAACTTCTATGGAATTTCTAAGTTAAACAGAAATCTTGGTTGGTGAAATATGTCTCACCCTCTGCAGAAGAAAAAACAAAACACCCAATTTGCTGTTTTACGTATTATAATGCGATGAATTTTGTTTGATTTTATTTATGTATTTTGAGTTCCTCAACCAACATGTTATGTTTTCTGATTTATATTTGCGTTGTTCGGTTGTTATTTGGAAAGCATGTAGATTTCGAATACTGTTACTTTTGCTCATTAGATGGTTTATTGATTTTTGTAATGTTGCCTTTTTTGGTGTGCAGAGGTTTCAACATTTGTTCATGCATGTGAGGGTGAGGCAGTCACGAAGCTCACGAATTCGAAGATACCCCATTTTAATGCCCCAATCTATCTGCAAAACAAGACTCAGATAGGGAAAGTTGATGAAATATTTGGTCCGATCAACGAATCTGTGAGTCCTCGTGTGCGATGTTTTTGATGCCAACTCATTGCAGCTTGGTTTTTAGGTTTGGATGTTTAATATGGTTTCTTTTGATGCAATTGCAGTATTTTTCGGTTAAAGTTATGGAAGGCATTGTGGCGACTTCGTATTCCCAGGGAGATAAGTTCTATATTGACCCAATGAAGCTTCTTCCTCTTGAAAGATTTCTTCCACAGCCAAAGTATGAGTTCTCTTTCACATTATTTAGGTTGAATTTCATGTTTGAGTTGAGATAATGACAAGGTTCCGTACTTTAATTAGACAACACGTGGTTTCTAATGAACAACTGCAAAGAGTAATATCATTCCGTGTTACTTTGTGCCCCCTTTTTTCTTGGAAGGGGTTTATTGTTAAGATGACAGTGCTGTAAGTTATTTTTAAGTGTGGCAGCATAAATTCGTGTTGTTACTAGGATGACAAATTCAGTCTTCTACACTGTCAACTTGAGGTCAAGCTTTGTTTCCAAGCTAGGACAAGCGAAATGCTAATTAGTCTACCTTAGTTTTGGTCACATTGCTAGACCAAATTCTACTTATTATAGATAATAGATATCCCATTGGTTCCTTGGGGAGTTTCTCGATGAACTCTTTATTCTTTTTCTTATGTACAAATGTTATGTTTGATAAAAACAGGAGTTGGCTGATGGAATGTTTTTTATTTCAAAATACGCATGACTTTCAAGATTTTTGTATGATCCTTCAAAGGGCTTATTGTGAAGTCTGTTATTTTTATTTGACATACAACGTCAGAAAATTCTCTTCGAAATGGTCTTGTCGATGGACTTAACTATGCCATTCAGTGAACACATGAGCTAATTTTATGGGTGATCTTGTCTCTGATATATTTTGGTAAAGACTTTTAGTCATATTCATCAGGTCCTGTCCTTGTACCGTGTTGAGTGACAATTCCTTGTCCCTAAAAATTTGGACAGTTTCCTTCAGTTTACTTTAGTAGATGCTTCTTGAAGAGTTCATGCTTGGCAGGGTATGATGCTCTCATGGAAGAAAAATCACGAATTATATGTTTAATCTCGTTGATGTCCAATTGTCCATAAAGAGGAGCTTTCGTCTCAGATGTACAATAAATAAATATTCATTTTTTTTAAAATAATCCTTGTGATATTTAGATGCCCTCTGTGAGTTTGCTTCATTGTTGATGTATTTAGATTTTTTTCTCCCCCTAAAAGTTAAATTGTGGTTCTTTCAATGAACATGGTTTTTTGTGGTAATCTGTTTTTAGTAGTGTTAGAAAGGTCTTCCATTGTTCATCTGAAGTAATTGTCATATTATTCTCATTATGAATTCTTGCAAGTGACACATGTATGGGTGGTTTTGCTGCAGGGGACAGAAGCCAGCATTTTCTCGAGGCGGAGGCCGTGGAAGGGGTACTCCGAGGGGAAGAGGTTTTTCAAGGGGAAGGGGTCCTCCAAGGGGAAGGGGTCCTCCGAGGGGTGGTAACCGTGGTGGCTTCAGGGGCAGAGGGAGATTTTAGAATAACATTTTGTAATATTTCTAGTGCCCTACCCGCTTTGCGTCGTGGTTTCAGCATGCGTAGGGCTCGCAAGAATCACAATTTCATGCTGATTATGGTGGTTGGCATGCGGATGATGGACTATTTATTTTCCTTTTGTATTGTAGTTTTATGATCCAAGGCTCCTAGCTGCAAGCTGAACTTGAGTCGAGTTAAACATAGATGATTTGTTTTTCGTGACAACAGTGAGTTGTTGGTATTGCGAGCTATCAATAATTTATTTGTTGGATTCGTTAAGCAAGTGGACTATTAGACCGTTTATGTTAGTTTATTTATTTGTTGTTTGGGCTTGACCCAAAGATACTACACTTATTCTTGGAGTATGTGATGCTACGAATGCGTAGGTGAAATTTTTTCTATTTTTAATTTTTAATTTTGATACAATTGTTTTAACTTCACCTTATTACATATGTATTTCAATGATATGTTACTGTATATCTATTTTTGACTTTATGTTTTTGTAAGTTTTGTACATAAAGAGAAGGAAAGTATGAGTTTGGAGGCATGAAAGAGAAATCATTGCATTCTGATCATGATAGGATTAAAAGCACATCACAAAGTAGCACACAAATGTCCTATTGATTTTCCTTATTAACACTAAGATTTGTCAATTGTAGCATATGAAAATAAGGGTCTTTCCCGCAGAAGATTGTTTTATCTAACTACTTAAAATGTCACAAAAATTGGTTGCTGTCCTTACTGACCAGCCATCGAAAAATAATTATTAGACTGACTTACATTAATCTAAAGTCTACGAAATTTTATAAGCAAACACTAGACACACAGAGCTACACTTCTACAAATTTTTGGGATTTTTGGATTAGATTTGATATTTAAATTAAATAAAAATAAACAGGACAGAAACATATTTTAAGTAGTTCACATACGAGTTAGGGGAATTGCTATCCACCACCAAATAATCATGCAAACATGTTATGTTTCATTCAAATTCCTTTTACTTCCGGATGAAGATGCTCAAGTTGGCTCAATGTTAGAACACAACCTATTACTCTTCCTTACATAGTATGTTAAGAGAACGGCGTTTCCAACTTAACTTAGTCCCTAGCATGCAATCTAGAATAGCGTGTTCATAGATTTAACAAGTAGGAATCATTAAGAACGAAAAGAGTTTGAGTCATCACAAGGCATCGTAAGTACTGGCGTTGTCTTACTTATCCTAGAAATTGGTTCACATGTTAATCGCAATTAACAAGTACTACTCTAGAACATATGTAGGTCCTCATTCAACAAGGGCAGACACACACATATTCATAGTGTTAGAATCCTAGATATGCTTACTACGTATGCATCCATAGAAAACAAATAAAGAATTCATCAATGAGACAAGTAGTGAACCAATTTTCATCCATTCATAAAAGTAATTCAAATGAAATGTCATAACAAACTTGCAATCATATTCGGGGCTTCAAAACAGCCCCTAACTACTAAAAAATTAGTTACACACAATCCTTAAATAAAAACAAAAGATAGATATGAGTTTGAGAAGATAGAACCGAAAGAAATCGACTAAGGCCTCCTCCTCTCTTCCTTCCTTCCCCAATGCTGCTTTTAAACCAATTCTTGCTGCATCATTTTCTTCTCCTTAACTCACCCACTAATAGCCATTTAGTGATGACAATAAGTGAGAGGAAATGTGGTAAACAATTGTAACACTTTAGGTAGCCTTTATGCCAATTACTCCCTCTTAATCCTCATTTTTAATTCCATTTCCTGTTATTTGAATAGGTGTCAGCTGATTTGTTCTTGGCTGCATCAATTTTGGCTGCTAGTTTTATTGGATTTATTGCCTTCAATGCAGTTACAAACTGCTCAGCGTCTTGGAAACCTTTTAGTGTTAAAATGGCCATAACATCTTCTAGAAAAATGATATTAACAATCCGTGAAATGCTCCAGAAAATAGACATCCGTAGCTTTCCAAGAATATAAGGCTCATTCTCTAATTCATTCTGAGCTGTTCGAAACTTGCTTCCAAAGTCAGCTGATCTGCACATGCAGTTTTGACGAATTTGTTACTTAAAATTCCACTTGTGCTATTTTTCTTTTCTTTGCTTGACAAATCCCACAAAACACAAAAACAACGTAAATAGCTCAAAAATATAAGGAACTAACTAAGAAAAGAGAAGTGAATTTGATGTAAAATATATATAAATATGAGCTTATCAGATCACGACAGAATGTCATTTTCTTTTATGCAATCGTTCTAACTTGATATCTTTTTTACACATATTTTTCTATTATCTTTTCATTATTTTTAAATAGCAGTTTTTAAAGGAGTGAATTGATAAAAATGTCGCGAGATTGCTGATCTTCGTGTTTCGTCTTTTTGTAACGCGTACAAGTTACTATTTTTCTGTATTATCGAAGTATTCGACGATACGAACGTGTAGGCGCAAACGAAATTGAATTTGGAGCTACGATAAAGATTTTACAAAACTACGAAACTTGAGGGTGTTTTATTATTTTAATATTTTATGGTGGGATAATTTAGTTATTTTATTAATTTTTTGAACTGTGGGGCCCACACTCACACTAAACTCTCAACTCCTTCCTCGCCACGTGTCATTTTTTCCCTGCACATTAGGAAACACTCTCTCTCTCTTCTCCCTCAGTCTCTTGTCCTTTTCTCTCTCTGATAACTCTCTCTACCTCCTATCTCTTTTCGTGAGATTTGCCGGACCACCATCACCCACCATCCTCTCCGACGAGCATAACGACCATGAACCCGAATCCCATATCGTCTTGTAGCCGTGAAACTGCATACTTAGACCTCGAGCTGTAAAGACAAACTCGGACTGCGACCTTCAGGGTTCCCTGCGAGAAACTTGAGAATTTCAGTGTGGGTAAGTTTGAAATCTACTCTAGATCTTCATGGATCATGTTTAGGAGTACAATTAAAATGTTTTTTTAGACTTTTTGGTGGCTTTTGGTGCAGAGACAAGGGGAAAACCCTCCCCAATTTTCCGGTGAGAATCCGGTGGCTTTGAGCCATTTTCCGATCAACTCCGGCCACCTCTCCGTCCATCATTGGTATATTTCGAACCCTTACCTCTTGAGCTACATATTGGCTTTTGAATTTCTGATTTTGGTTGAGAAATGAACTAGATTTGGCATTTGGAAAATTTCCGGCCAAACTTGAGGAGAGAATATTCTGTTAAAGTTAAGTGTTGACAGTTAGTTGACTTTTTCATAATTTTCTTAGAAACCCTCCTAGGCTAATTTCGACGTCCCGAGTCCGTTTTTGACATCCATTTAGTGAAATTCTAAAGTTTTAATGTAGTTGACTGCCGTGGCATCTCGGTTGACTTTTTAAGGTTGATCGTTTACTTTTTGTAAAATTTGCCGGGGACATTCCTTAGCGTATTTCGACGCTCTGATTCCAAATCTACTATCCGTTTCTCCAAATTCAAACATTTAATTAAGTTTTACTAATGGGTCTCAATATTATGCCTAAGTGCGATTACTATCAGAGACTCTGGCTATCCTAGTTCGAACGACTATGACTTCCTAAGTATCTATGAGTGAGTCTTATCTTTTATATAGTATATATATAATTGTTAGTTTCCATTTATACATTCATGAAGAGTTTTTGATAGGAGCATATTTATGCGACTTAATTGGCTTGTTCTCGTGCATTTACGTTGTGTTTCTTTAGTTATTTTAGTGTTTAAAGTCACTTTTGTGTGTTTTCAGATTCCAAAGCCGAAGTGTGCAAAATGATGTAATTTGGAGCCTTTTGGAGCAAAAGGAATGGATGAATTGAAGACTTGAAGCAATTAGGATTCCTAATCAACCAAGGATTCCTAATCGACGAAGGATTCCTAATCGACGAAAGATTCCTAATTGAAGATGGATTCCTAATCACATGAGGATTCCTAGAAGAACAAGGATTCCTACTCCAAGAAGGATTCCTACTTGAAATAGGAAAGTTAAGCCAAGGTTTCCTACTTTGGTTTGACCTTTCCTAAATGTTCCTAAGTTTTATCAACTTTGAAGGCATCCTAAGCATTCTAGGACATCAAATACACATCCCTTGCACATTATGAACCCTTGCCGCACCCCCTTGACATTTCCTCTTCCTTGTCGTGCAAGGGAGAGGGTTGTTTCCTGATTTTATGCATTAAAACACATTCCTAATGTGTTTTAGGACCTTGCCGCATATTCCCTTGCCTTTCCTTTAATTTTCTGATTTTGTTTCCTATTTCTAGAAGCCTTAGACTTAATTTCTGATTACCTAAATAACCTAGGGTTTTAATTCCTGAAATCCTTTAAATAAACTCCTCTTTTGCAGCCACAAAACATCCATACACTGCCCATCCACGCCAGAAACCAGTCTCCACCTTCAGCCGCACCATTCTACCACCATTCACCCAAATTTCTGCCACAAATCACCCCTAGCCGCATCACCCATCAACCCTAAACACTTCCATACGTCCCCCATCCATTCTACACCAGTTAATAACCCAAAAACCTGCCCAAGGTCCCTGTGCCGCAGCAAAGGAGAGGAAGAAGAAGTACTTGAAGATTCTAGCTGTTCAACATCGAATCGTTGGATTATTTAGGTGTTCTCTTTCTTATATTTACAATGTATAAATCTGTTTTCCTTTATTTTGTGAACATGAGGAACTAAGCCTTTTTGGCTAGGGGGTTATTCGATACCATGATTATGCTTGCAAGATGAATTGATTACGTCTAATTGTTATTTCATGAATTGTGAATGCAATTTGCTTAACCGTTTGATTGATGACTTATTTTTGTGTGTTAATTAAGGTGGCCAACTTAGTTTTCATGCAGGAATTTGAAGCTAAAACATAAGGAAGTTTCACCTAATAGTTACAACCTTATGTTTGCAAGTAGTGGAGGTCGCTTATAAACGATCGTGTTAAGTGAATTCTTGGCAAACGTTTCATGCTTTTCATAGTAACAATTGCCTCGTCAATGCTTATAGTTTTCATGAAGCTTAATGATCTTTGATTGTACCTTTATTTGTGCTTTTCACGTAAGGGACTTTTAGAGAATGTTTTGAGTTGTTGCATGTGCATTCCCATCCAATTCACTAACTTTAGGAAAACTTGAAGGTTAAAAAAGTGCTATCATAGTTAACCTAGGGCGTTGAGATTCATAGTTTATTGAAAGAAGCAATTGGAAATCAAAGTTGAATGCAAGTGTATCATGTGTGGAGAAGAACCCTCTAGTTAGTCTATCACCCATCAATTTACTTAATTCTGTCTAAAAATCTGTTTACATTGTTCTTGCTTTGTTTTATTTATTTTCGTCCAAAATCAACCCCATCTTATTTCTTTGAGTCATATTAACTAGAACTTGTCTTAGAATATGTTTTTAGGTGTTTTAGGTCATTAGAAAACCAAAATTCGTCCAAGTTGTGTTAGAGTCCCAAAACTGCCCAGAAAGTGGTTTTTAGGCAGTTTTGAGTGTTTGTTTGCTGTTTTGAGTCTTTTGGTTTGTTTTAGTGTTTTAGAGTTTAGTTTTGCATTCTTTGAGTCTAGTTAGTATTTTAAACTTTGTTTTACAGATTTGAGTCAGTTTAGAGTGTTTTAGCAATCCCTCCTAATCCCCGGTTTAAGAACGATCCCTACTTATCCATACTACAATTGTCAACAAGATGGTTAATTTGTGTGTTTAGTTATTTTACGCATCAGTTTTCTACAATACACCTAGATTAGCGTGATGTTTATAAGATTTAGCACATTGACATAAATTATGGAGTTATGCCATGTCCTACGGGATGCATAGATATGCGTATTAGTATGGATGCTTTAATGGTATTTACGGTTATGAATAGTATTTCATTGACTAGGGTTATTGAATTATTGAATTATCGATTTATCATTGCATGATTATATTTGCGTTATCTACTCATCATTTGCTGCACCAGTGTTATTACTCACTCGGGTCAGGGCCAAACTTTTACTTGTATGTGCACATCGCATTGTACGCTCACTTTGGATCAATTGTAGGTGCCATTCTTATCCTAGATTGCTATAGGCATTAGGACTCGTATATGCTATGCAACGCCAGTCTTCACATGACTGTAGTACTAAAGCGTATATCATTGTTACACCCAATCCTGTTCATGTCAAAATATCTCTGCATGACTCGTGTGTCATCATCTGTCAATGAGCACTCGATATGATATGTTTATTTATGTGAGAATATGTGATTACGGATGTCATGTATTTATTTTATGAAAGTTTGTGAAGTATTGCATTCTTGAGATAATGTTGGCTCTGGTAAGTATTTTCTTACTATACTTAGTATGTATATTTTGGAAACTATACTTGTTTTACAGTGAGGGGTTATTATGTTTTCGAAAAGGTTTTACAAAACTTTATTTTCAGGCTCACTCACCCTTATTTTTCAACCCTCTAGGTTTTAGTGCTGAGCTTCGTGTTGGCGAGGATTCTTGGCAAATCTTGGTATAGGCGGTTACATTGGATGGTATAATTCTAATCCTAATTTACTGTACTTTACTTATGCTTTGATATCACGTGTGAAATGAGTTTATTCCCGCTCACAAGCGCACTCTAATATTTAGGTACTTTTAGGTTTAAATTTATTCACATTTTTCATATCACTGCATTTTATAGCTTCGTCATCCTCCTGGTGTCGGCCAACATAGTTCGATTCGGAGTCCATGTGGACATTCTGGGTTGGGATGTGTCATATACAGCTGGATTTCTAAGGATTTTAATAAACTATATTAAATTCCTGATTGAATACATGTTGAATTTTAGATAATTACTTAAAATTCTGATTGAATACCCCTAAATTCATTAAAAAAAATTAAAATCCCTCAAATTCTCAATTCAATACACCCTCCTTAGAGTGCAAGATAAGAATTTCACCTTTAATGAATTATTATACAATCACTCAAAACCATTTACCTAAATTGATTGATTTTCAATTTATTTATATTGGCTTGGCACAAGGGCCTTCTACTACAATGTTGAACATGAGTATTATTCTTGCACCATAATGTGAGTTCGATCGTTTGGCAATACGAGAAAATATAAACCTTTCGAACAATTGCAGTCTGTATTGGTCAACAAACATACGTATAGCCGGGGACAATTTAAATTAAAATTTGTCAACCGGCCCTCTCTCTGACTCTGGTCGGGTCGCCTCTGCTGAATTGAATTGCTCAACCAAAATACCCGAATCGCATCTTCCTTCCTTCCTTCCTTGTTGTGGCGTGATAGACAGGGCAGGCGAGAGAGAGAGAGAGAGAGAGAGAGAGAGAGAAGCGAATGGGCAGGGGCGGTGGTATCCTTGAGAAGCTGAGGAGTTTGGACGCCTACCCTAAAATCAATGACGATTTCTTCAGCCGTACACTCTCCGGTGGCATCATTACCCTCGCCTCTTCCCTCCTCATGCTCTTCCTTTTCTTCTCCGAGCTCAGTATGTAATTCTATGCCTTTTCAACCAACCCTTTTTCTTCATTTTGCTTTTTCTCTCCTGTTTTTTTACAAGTTCAGAAATTGAATTGTATTGTTTTGGGTTTCATCTGTTGGCTTGAATGATATTGTTTTGGGGTTTTTTTAGGACAATTCAATTGCGTTAGAACAAAAAGAAAATACTTTGTTCACTTGATTTATGCGATTTGTAGAGCATAAAACTTAGGGGATAATGCTAATGGATTCATAGTTATACCTCACGTCGCCACCGTCAATAGATTTCTTGATAACTTGATGAAGTAGATGATGCTGGAGGACCGCCTTAATATAACCTTTCATACTACTTGTGATTTTTCTTAACTCGCAAGTCGATTTCCTTGATAGTAAGCACTACCCAATGCCAGTGATGAATCAACGGATCAAAAGTATATAAGAAAAACAGCACGATAGAAATCGTGTTACTGCTCTAGTGTACGCGAATGCTCGAGTGCTTATTATGATCATGCCTTCTGCTCTCTTCAATCTTTGTAAACTATATAAAATCTTTTACTTGTTTGTGCCTGCAGGACTATACCTCCACACTGTTACAGAGTCAAAGCTTCTTGTAGATGCTTCAAGAGGAGAAACCCTACATATCAATGTAATCCTCCCTTTCTTCCTCGCCGCTCCCTTCTCGGGTGATAAATGTCAAAATATTCATTTTCAATAACTTCAGGGATTAAATTAAGCTTCTTTTGCTAGTTATAGTTTTGTAGAACACCATCTTACATGTTATGTTCATAGGTTTACCTCTGTCCTAGGTTTACATGGAGTAGTTCTTTTGCATGTAAAATATAGTCGCATAATTGTTAATGGTTGTAGATTTATTAATTCTCTGTTTCTTGTTTGAAACTGCAGTTTGATGTAACTTTTCCTGCTATCCGATGCTCATTACTCAGTCTTGACACAATGGATATTAGCGGAGAGCAGCATTTTGACATAGTATGTACCGCAGGCAGCTGCTTCTTGATGATAATTGATTTTCCTTGATAATTTCAATTGTGTTAGGAACATGCCTATCGTTGATTTTTATCACAATCATAGCGCTAGTGACCAGCTTTCTTGAATGTCATGCTCATTTATTTCATTAATTTACAAGTTACTGTGCATCTACTTGCAGCGACACCATATAGTCAAGAAACGAATTGATGCGCATGGTAATGTAATAGAAGCTAAGAAGGATGGAATTGGTGCACCAAAGGTTTGTGGAACACATTTTGTGCCATTTCTCTTCAGAAAGTAGTGGTTGCATATAGTACATGTTTGAACACCTATTTCTTTCTGGGAAATAATTTGGTAAACATAATAGTATGACTTGGTTTTTACTCTCTGTTCAGGTTTTGTGCTTTTGACAAAAACTTGTAGAAGACTAGACGTACAGAAAGCTTTTCATAACGCTCACACAGATACAAATAAAACAAAATTTTTATCCGTATTTCTGATAATCTGAGTATAATGTCTTTGGATGCATGGTTCTTTGTGGCTGCAGCTAGAACAGAATTACCAGGCATTCACCATCAGCCATACTTTTAATTAATCATGTGATTCTGATACTTTCACACAGCTTTCTAGTAGATGCTTGGCTGTCTTTGTAAATATTCCGTATATCCCTTCATCATAGCACGTGCTAGTGCACCATTGCTTGAATTTTTAGGTTCTTTTATGTTGATGTTTGAATTTTTAGGTTCTTTTATGTTGGGTAGAGTTTGACAAAGCATGTGAACTACAGATTTGAATTAGTAACGCATCTGGCACTCATGTCCCATTTTTTTGGTAAACTTACTGCTTTTGCAAGTTTGTTCACCTTTGTTGCATGATTAGTGCACAAGAAAACACCTATTAAAAGAGAGCTAAAAACAGACCCATAGCAACAAGACCCATCAGTGAAAACGAAAGAAGAGGAAAAGAACCTGATCACCCCTTCATAAATGGAAGAAATAAAAGTAGATAATACATACTATTTTATGTTGCAATCCTTGTTAATTTTTTTGGGTGGGAAGCAAATAAGGATACGAAACAGAATATTATGTTTCTTATTCCTTGTTTGATTGGGATTCACTGTTCCTTTTATTTATTTATTCATTTTCATTCTCTAATGCAGATTGAGAAACCCTTGCAAAGGCATGGTGGAAGGCTTGAACATAATGAAAAATATTGTGGATCGTGCTTTGGAGCAGAAACGGTATAAATGATTTTCTTCCATTCCTTGTGTTAATAATAGTTCTTTTTTATTTTGAACAATAATGCTAGGGACACCATATTAGGTCGCTGATGATCTGCAACCAATTTTGAAGCTCTCTACACTCTGCAGGTACAGATGCCCAGAAAGAAGTGCAAAAACAAAACCAGAGAGAACTCTTTGAGTGCCTAACAGGCTTCTTGTGTGTGTGATTAGTGGTTTCATAGGACACCTAGTGTTTCCTACTTGTTCTTTCCTTCTAAATATTTTTTTCCAGAAAATTCCATTAACCTTGGGATCCAGTTCCAATACTGTGAAAGCTGTCAGGGGGCAATGTATTCCTAAGGAACTGTTCAAAAGCTCAATTTCTGTTAAATCTCCATTATGAAACCTAATCATAATGCAAGTTATAAAGATTCTATATTGCAAACTGAAAATTCATTTCGATAATGCCATGTTGGAAGAGTGCATATGTGCACGAGTCCTTAGGAGTTAGCATGACCAGTAAATTTATTTTTTAGTGTAGAGGATGTAGATTCAGAAAGGTGGCATTGCTTACCAAATCTGTTAAACAAGTTGGTTTTGTTCAACTTTACTTCCTTAACACGTGTACATGAATGCAAATTATTGCCTTATTCATAAATTTCCTACATGCTTGATTCATTAACATTTGATCAAATGTTCTTGTTTTGTTATTTCATATTTTTGTAGGTCTGTTTTAGTTAAACTGATTAGAGAATTAGTAATCTTGAAGCATGCATCAACGAGCAAAGTATATTCTTCCATGGTCCCTTAATCTCTTCCTTTTTCTTTCTTATGCAGTCTGATGATGATTGTTGCAACTCGTGCGATGAAGTTCGTGATGCATATAGGAAAAAAGGTTGGGCACTGACGAATGCAGAGTTGATAGACCAGGTTAGGTCATAGAAACTTCTGATTTTTCTTTGTGTGATTCGTGTTCCAAAAATTGAATGCCATTCATGTAGAACAATTAACCAGAATTTAGAATTTAGAACTAGAGGATAGAAATAAATAGAAAGGCTGAGGACAATCCAAGAGAAGACAAAGGATTAGAACAGAAATCTAGAGGAAGACCGAGATAGAAGAAAGACTAAGAGAAAGAAGATACGCAGGGAGAAAATATGCCTTATGATTTTAAGTGCTTTGATCTGTAACACTAAGAATTTTAGATGTTTAGATTCAAAATTTACCTCAAGAGGGACCTTTTGTCCCCTTTATTGTTCAACCTTATGGCAGATGTTATGAGTAGATTACTTCAAAGAGTTGGAGTCTCAAGTGATTGAGGGGATAGTTTGAGGACATCATGGTCTTTTTTCTTGCTCCCAAGGGTATGGTCTGGGAGAATCTCTTATTGGTTGTGGACAGCTTTTGTGGGAACTCAGGCTTAAGGGTGAATAAAGCCAAGTGCTCATTGTTGATCATAGTAAGGTGGAGAGGTGGGTTACTTCCTGGGGGTGTGGTGTCGGCTCTTGGCTGATAAAGTGGTTGGGACTCCCTTTGTCGGGGGAGGGTTGGGTTGGGTGGGTGTGGTTGTCGGATCCATGGCGAAAAGTTTGAGAAAAGGTCACAAAGTTGGAAGTTACTTTTTCTCTCTAGAGGTGGCATGTTGATTTTGCTTCAACCTGTTTCTTAACTGACTGTGTCAGTTACCGAATACAATGAGTCTTACACCCGCACTGCACTTATTCATTGAATTAACTTCGATATCTGTAGTCTGTACTGACATCCACCAAAAATTTATATAACATATTTAATATGGATAAGCAATGAGAGACTTTATCTCTCATTAAGACTAGATAATGTTTTAACATCAATATTTTAAGTTAACAGGTAAACAGGCGGGCTCGTTAAGGGCCAGCACGGCCCGGATTGAACCGGGCCGCAGGTGGGGCTAGGTTTTAGGTGTAAGTTAATCGGGCATTGTTAAAAGCTGGCCCGAGCAGGACATGAAGAACTATAGGGCTGGTCTTGACGGCCATCTGTTGAACACCTTTACTCCCAAATTTGGACAGATATTGATGTTTCTGTGGCATTATGTTGATATTAATCTTCAATGTCCTTTCTGTTTGCAGTGCGAACGGGAAGGTTTTATTCAAAAGGTCAAAGATGAAGATGGTGAAGGATGTAATATTGAAGGATCCCTTGAAGTTAACAAAGTGGCTGGAAATTTTCATTTTATACCTGGAAAGAGTTTTCACCAGTCTAATGTTCATTTGCATGATTTGCTGGCTTTCCCGACAGATAGTTACAATGTAAGGAACATTTTATTTCCTTTGGTAGCAAAGAAAATAATATAAGTTTTGCCATTTTTCTATGGTTTTAATTTTCTTTGTTGTTTTCAAGTAAAAAGCATGTGCCAACAATTTCAGATTCATTTTTCATGATACAGATAAGTCACAAGATAAACAGATTAGCTTTCGGTGACTACTTTCCTGGCGTGCAAAATCCCCTTGATGGGTAATTGTTTCTTTCTTCCCGTCCCTAGCTATTTATAAATTGAAGAAATCTCATTGGCATCAACTTCAAAATATGGAATTTCTTTTAAGATGTAGTTTAATAGATATTGTTAATTTGTTGTCAAATACAAATCATATGGTATTGCTATAATACCATATATTACAGAGGGAAGTACTATTGCAAGACTTGATTGATTTTTATGGAATGGGTGTTCTTCAGTAGTGAAATATTGTTGCAATTCGAATCTTTTATGTTATATTCTTACCGCATATTCAGTGTACAATGGACGCAGGAAAGACCAAGTGGTGTATACCAGTATTTCATCAAGGTTGGTATTATCAGTAAATTAATTCGGCATTTGCTACATGGTTATTCTTACCAGGAATTGTTTTGAATGACTTCTGGAATTTCATGGCTTTCTCAGACTAAATCTTTTATGGAATCAGTTTTTGTACTGTTTCTTTAAAAGTAGTTATCAATCAGCAAGGATATTTAAGACACTTAGTTTCTACTTTTCAGGTGGTCCCTACGATATACACCAATATTATAGGCCGTACAATTTTCTCAAATCAGGTACTTTTAAGCTTGTTGAATCTCTTTGATCCGATGACAAATCATGCCCTGATGTGTAGTTGAATTTGTATGGTATAGTACTCTGTGACAGAGCATTATAAGAGTTCGGAGCTGGGACACTCTCAAATGCTTCCAGGAGTTTTCTTCTTTTATGATCTTTCTCCAATTAAGGTGTGTTTCTTGGTCCACATCTAGTGTATTGTTCTAAATCGGATTAGTGTTGATAATTATACTGGTGTGCCCATTTTTCTCGGTCAGATTTTGGGTTTTTGTGTTTTTGCGCTTTCCTTCTCTCCGGTAATTACATAAAATAATAGAATAATCTCTTTCGCAGTCAGATGAAAATTTAGACTTCCATGGTGAAAACCTTCTATGTTTGTGGAAGCAAGAAGGGTTAACCATGAAAACAAAAAGGCCAAATTGCATAAGTCATCCCTGTGATTATATTCTAGTCTCAAAATAGCTTATGGGGTACAGAAATTGGCATTTAAACCCCTTGTGATGAAGCCCGTCAATAATTAGCCCAAAATTTGAAATTTTTGTCGATTCTTCATCTAAAGGATGCATGTGAGCCTCATGTTGAGGTTAACTTTGTCTTGTCACCCCTATTAACTTAGGTCAAAGTTTATAATCCTTCCTTGTGGTCTGAAGACGGCTCAAGTGGTAAAACAATTGACATTAAACCCTTGCGGTGAAGCCTGTTAGAAATTTAGCCCAAAATTTGAAAATTTTGATCGATTCTTCGTCCAAAAGGCATCATGTGAGCCTCATGTGCAAGTTACTCCTTTCACCTTTGTTTATTGAGAGATGATGATTTTCATTGTTTTAGAACGGGAGAGGTGATATTGGGTTTAATAAATGTGAAGGTGTTAAATATATTGGAGTATTATCTATTTGCTCAACAAATTAATAGACAAAAGGAATAGGGATTCTAGCCGTGAACCAAAATTAAAGTGATGTAGATGTCCTAAAGCCATAGGCGCCTCTGTATGTGCAAGTTATGGCAGTGCATACAACTTTAAGATGCAACAGAATTTCTGGTTAGTTGTGCACGTCAACGACAAATGAGAATTCAAGTCTTGATCGATTGCCCATGGAGTAGAATGCAAAATTAGTAGGAGAGGAATATTGATGATAGTAATATATAGAGACATGGAGGGTGAGAGCAACAAGGAAATTGTATCTAGTTTGTTCGAGGGGTATCTTATCTATGGAACTCCTCATAACTCTTTAATGAGAATCACAACTTTTAGGCCAACAACTATTACCATTAATAGAGATTGTGACGTAAGTGAAGAGATGAAGCTCATACCTGGGACTAACTTATTAGATGGAGAATCTACGAGTATGGGGAAAAAACTATGGGCTGATTGATGAACCCCTGCAGAAAATATACTTTTTATCCTGAGAATGCTCTTCCCTTCATCTTATTATTAATTTATTTTCTTAACTGAAAATATATCCGTTGGTTTTTCTTTTCCTTGTTAAGGATAAGACTGGGACTGGAAATTGAGATGCGAGCACATCGACAAGACTCAAAATAAGTGATGAAGCAATATAAAAATGGCTGTCATGCCACACTCAAAAACCTGTAGGATTGTTAGAGGTGTGGAACCCTATGTATGCACCATATCTAGTGCATTTGAACTATTCTCCCCGAATACGTTGGGGGGTGGAACTTCTGGTTTCTAGTGTAAGTTTACATTGAGCGTATTCTTTTAGCCTCTAAAAAATCAACCTCATCTAGATTTGAACAAAGAAGAAGAGTGTACATATTGTGAAAAATAACACAATTTGTCAGGTTTATATCTTCAGTTTAAAAAGTAGCACATAATCATGTTACCGAGATGAACACTAGTATGAGCTGCCTTGTATTGCAAACCATCCTTACGTTTTATCGTTGTTGCAGGTCACATTCAAAGAAGAACATGTTCCGTTTTTACACTTCATGACCCATATTTGTGCCATAATTGGAGGTAATCTAGTCCATTCTGACATGCATTGATGTATGTCGAAGAAATTAACACAGTATTTGACAAAGTCCTCAAAACCATTATGCACTTAGTATAACCATTTGGTTCAAAGTTCAGAATATATGCATGTATGTAATGACAGTACTGTGCAATCTTTTTGTGGTTATGTTTATACTTGAAGACTTCTAACGAGTGATAAAAATCTCGACTTTGTTCTAGGTATATTTACCATTGCAGGACTTATAGATTCGTTTATATACTATGGTCAAAGAGCAATTAAGAAAAAGATCGAAGCTGGAAAATTTGGGTGAAATCGGGCATTTGGATATTTGCTGCTCCAATTCTGGGACACATGGTTGACAAGTAGATGGTCATTGAATCAGTTTCTCTCTGTTCTCTCTCAAGTGTTGTCTTGATCACAGACTATTGGCAAATATGTGAAAATTAGTAAGCTTACTGGTTATACAAACTGATTTTTTTCTTGCATGTGGAACCATCAAATTCGTCCAGCCATAAAATTTTGGCTTATTTATTGATTTTCCCGTGAAATGTCCATACTGCCCTTTCATTTTAACGTCGATGAGATGAGACAACATTGACGAAAATGGGGTGAAATGGTTCGATTTTGGGAATTCATGAGGCAACTGAGACAAATCTAGTTTCAGGCCAAACCAATAAATAAGCCTAGAATTTATAGGAAAGTAAGAGATAGGCTTGGCTCCTCAAAATGAGGAGCCACCTCCTCCATTCATTTAGTGGCTGATTCTCAAAATTTAGTGTATATAATCGGAATTATTCATATTATTTATTATTTTGTAAATATCATCTTGACAAAAAAATAAATAAAAATTAGGAAGTTTTAATAAAAAGGGTTTGGGCCAACAAATATTTAATCAAAAACCATCCCAAAATGTTTTTTTAATCAAAAGGGCTCAAAGTTTAATAAAAAAACCATCCAAAATTATTGTCCACGGGTCAAACTTACAAGCCCAACCTGCTACAAATCTACACTTCCGTAAATACCCCTAAATGATTCGATACTGTCCTGACTCTTCACCAACGTCAACCCAGCACGAAACCGCCATAATAACTTCTTGTCTTCCTATCAAATTGAATTCTCTCATTTCAAAAACAATCAAATCAATAAATAAGCCTAGAATTTATAGGAATGTAAGAGATAGGCTTGGCTCCTTAAAATGAGGAGTGCCACCTCCTCTATTCATTTAGTGGCTGATTCTCAAAATTTCGTGTCTATAATCGGAATCGTTCATATTATTTATTATTTTGTAAATATCATCTCGACAAAAAAATCAATAAAAATTAGGGAGTTTTAAGAAAAAGAGCTTGGGCCAACAAATATTTAATAAAAACCATCCCAAAATGTTTTTTAACCAAAAGGGCCCAAAGTTTAATAAAAAATCATCCAAAATTATTGTTCATGGGTCAAACTTACAAGCCCAACCCGCTACAAATCTACACTTCCGTAAATACCCCTAAATGATTTGATATTGTCCCGACTCTTCACCAACCTCAACTCAGCACGAAACCGGCATAATAACTTCTTGTCTTCCTATCAAATCGAATTCCCTCATTTCAAAAACAACCAAATCAAAGTTCAAATCAAAGTTCAAAAATAAAGCATTCATTAGAACAAAGCCGCCAAAACAAGTTCAAAGAAGTTTAATGGCAGAAATCGGCGAAAAAGTGTTTGGAAAAAAAAAAAAGAACCAAAACATAAAACTGTTTCTGGAGAACCCAAAACATAACACTGTTTCTGAAAAAAAAATAGATACAGTGTTTGTTTTGTCTATGCACAAACAAACATTGTATCTGGAAAGAAAATAACCAAAATCCAGAAACAGTGACTTAAATTTCAGAAACAATGACTTAGATTCCAGAAACAGTGACTTAGATTCCAAAAACAGTCTATGTTTTAACCTTTGACTGTTTATTTTCTTTCATACATCAGTTGATTATATTTAAGAATCAGGGTGCTTATTTTGCTTTGAATCCAAATACAGTGAATTTCGCTATTTCTTTTCTAGCTTACAATTAAGAAACAATGTGTCTATTTCATTTGGATCCAGAAACAATTTATTTTTACAGTCCAGAAACAGTGACCTGTCATTATTATTGAATAGCATGCATATCTCAAATTTATTTTCTGGAGAAATAAACGATGAACTCTATTGATGAAAAAAAATTGAAAAATAGTACCACGAATACAATATGAATAATAACGACAATCACATTTCAACGAAATAATACAAAATATAAATTAAATAGCATGAGAATCTACATTTTTGTTTCAAAGAAAGAGAAGAAGGTCTGCAAAACAACGATGAACTCCATTAACGACGAAAATTTGGAACTCAACCTAAAAAAATTAGAGGTAAAATCGACAAATCATAATTTATTATAGTTGGGCCATTTTTAGTTGGACTGCTTTAATGGGCCTTGTACTAATCATCAAACAAAACTTATAACATGATTTTTTTTTATTAAAACTAAAACTTTTCAAGACTTTGTTATTAGTTTTCCTTAAAAATTAAGGTTGTTTAGTCAATTAATTGTAACAAATAGATTGATAGTTCATAATTCTTTTATCGAATTTGTCCATCTGTTTTATGCAGTTTGATGACTAAACGATCTCATATTTTATTGATTTTTTGCAGAGATGACTTTTACAAAGTGAATTATATTATAAACAGTTCTGATCATAAGTATGAAGTTTGTAAATCGGTCATGTAGTGAATTGAGGAGGAACCCCTCATCCATTGAGGAGCCAAGTTGAAATAGACCCTCAAACTTTTTTTTAAGCCAAAAATACCTGATGAACTTTTATTAATAATAAGAAGAAAAAAAAAGAGGCGATGACATTTTTATAAATAAATTGAACTTTGGTGGCACTAATAACTGTTTCGTAGTTGTTTAGGTCAAACTATATTAAGAAATAGTTGAATGCTACCAAAGCTAAACGTATTTACAAAAATGACCAACTGTTGGTTTTGCCATGTCAGTCCACCCTATGCACAAGAAGTTGTAATTTCGAATCCGGGATGCATGGGTGAAAACCCAACACCCTATCCACAAGGAGACCACATGTATGGGGGAAGCTTAGAAGAGTTGCAACTTCTTGTGGAAGTTGTAATTTTTCTTTGCTGGCAAGACTCACATTAAAAGATGTCTTCCAATCATCTTAAAATAGAGGTTGAGACACTGGGAAACTTTTTGTACGACTCGTTAATCCAACACCCTATCCACAATGAGACCACATGCATGTGGGTTGCCTATTTCAAGTCGTGAAGAAAAAGGTTAATTTGGTAACTTTCAACTACTAAAAGACCTTAACTACAATACCTATAAAATTAAGGAAATTTTAACGAAAAGCTCCCGGTACTGTTAACTTTAACGAAAAACCACATTTTTACACTAAAAAGTCAATCCTGGTACTATTCATTTTACCCTTTATTTTGTCCTTATCGTTAAAACTCAAAGTTTTCAAGTCATTTTCATTAGTTTTCCGTAAAATTAATCTCATATAAGTGAGATTAAATCCTTACGATTGAATTGTTTTGATACCTTTCACTCTATATCATAACTATCTCAGCCAGTGTCCAAACTCCTAGTACCAACTCTCTTTGTATTCTCTCTGTCTTAGCTTTCGACACTCACTCTCTCTTTCTGATTGCCATCTCTCTGTCTCCGTCCAGCCACTACCAAGACCACTGGTAGGCCCAATCGGTTCAAGATCTTGAATTGGTAAAAATTGTAAATAGTGCAGGAAATTTAGAAAAAGGAAGGGAAGAGAAATCAAAGAAAAGGAAATGAAAGTTCATTCATTCATTCATATCCTTTCAACAGACACATTACATTATTTATATTCAAGCTAGAAGAGAAACCCTAGCTAAAGAGGCATGGGCCAAGAGCAACAAAACCAAGTCAAGGGCTTTGAAGAGTGGGCTTGATGGTGGCTGATAGGCCCAACCATATGGTCCTAACAACTCCCCCCTTGAAATGAGACCTGAGTCGAGGAGTTCTTGCACTTGCTTTTCAATTTCTACTTTTTGGGAATGGGGTTACTGGTAGGGCCGAACATTGATGGATGTGGTATTTGGTAAAAGGGTAATTTTGTGGTCGATTGGGCATGGTGGGGGAAGGCCTGAGAGAATGGAGAAAAGGTGTTGGTAGGTAGTCAAAAGGGATATAATGGCTGGGTGGGTGTTAAGAAGTGGGGACAAGGAAGTAGGGATGGTTGGTGTGTGGATGGGTTTAGGGCCAGTATGGGGGAGTGTGGGTTGCAGTGAGTGGTAGCCTTGGAAGGGTGGTTGAGCTGTGACTAGGCCTTGGAAAGTATAGGTGAGGTGAATAGGGAACGGAATGAAGGCTGAGGGTTGGTTGTGGTAGGGTGCGGGGGAGTAAGGTTACTGGGTGAGGTGGTGGTCGAGGTGGGGGGAGATGGGTGGGCAGATTTGAGGATACGCAGTTCATCCAGCAACAAGGATTGAAAGGCTGCAAACTATATGGTCATGGCGTTTTGAAAGGCGGTGTTGGAGGTGTTCATCTGGTTGATTGTCTTTTGGAAGGAGGCGTGTTGGGTTTTCATGGAGGATAGAGCATTATAAACATCCTTAACCTAGGTACGAAGGTGCTCGTGCCGAACATCCACGGCTGCTACTATGGCGTCGGGGTCAGAGGTAGTAGCAGACGTGTTTTTTCCTATGGAGTGATGGGCTCTAATACCAATTGGTAGGCCCAATCAGTTTAAGAGCTTGAAGAGGGAATGGAAGGGACGAGAAATCGAAGAAAAGGAAAAGAAAGTTCATTCATTCATTCATTCATTCATATTCTTTCAACAGACACATTACATTATTTATATTCAAGCTAGAAGAGAAACCCTAGCTAAAGAGGCCTGGGACATAGGAACAAAACCAAGTTAAGGGCTTTGAAGAGCGAGCTTGATGGTGGCTGATAGGCCCAACCATGTGGTCCTAACAACCACATGTGTATCTAATTTCGTCATCCAAGTCACTACTATCATGCACCACCACACTAGTGATGAATCACGACCAGTACCATTGATTTTACTCATTACCCAACTGCAAGGTTTACGAATCGAGATACAAATTGCCAGCCAACATTCATATTTGACCACCAATCCTCCTAAGTTCAGGCAATTTCTTGAATTTGATTGTAATATCTTCCAATTCAAGAATAAATTAGGGTTTCGTAGATTTTAGGATTGTATAATTTCAAGTTAAGATTTGTAAAATTTGGTATTTCATGATTAGAATTTAGAATTTAGAACTTAGGGTTGCCATTGTCAAGGTTCTGACTTTTGAGAAATGCTCCACATCCTCGAAAAAAACTCCCTTCATTTGCAATTTGCATATCCATGTACATTTAATATTTTGTAGTAGTGTACTAATGTTTTTTCATGACTCTTATTTTGAGGTATGTACTTGAAATACAAATGTATTTTTATGTTTTGAAATATATTTATGTGACAATGCGTGGGGTATGTAGATACTAATTT